CCGCGAAACGCACAGCATTTCGGATTCCGGAGAGATCAACGAATCTGGAATGGTGAAGGTGAAGGAGGAGGTGGTGGGCGATGATTCGGCCAGCATGGAGATGAAGCGCCAGCGCTTCCGGCAGTTCAGATACCAGGAAGCCGAAGGCCCCCGCGAGGTGTGCAGCCAGCTGTGGTACCTCTGCCACCGGTGGCTGAAGCCGGAGAGGCACACCAAGGAGCAGATCCTTGAACTGCTGATCCTGGAGCAGTTCTTGGCCATCTTGCCCCCGGAGATCCAGAGTTGGGTGAGGGAACACGAGCCGGAGACGTGCTCTCAGGCGGCTTCCCTGGCCGAGGACTTCCTGCAGATGCAACAAGAAGCTGAGAGAAGGGAACAGCAGGTACGGAAATGTGTGGTACCGTCAAACTGCAATCCGTCCTCTGGAAAGTTTTGCCATTGAGATCTTGCGGACTCAAAGCTGTATGTTCCTTTCTTGAGTCCGTCCATCGCGTGTTTGGTTTTCCTCTTTTCCTGGAAAAGTAGCATCCTGATCGTCTTTGGGCAAGCGGTAAACATTCAAGGCTTGGAAAAGTTACTCTTTTTTTTTTTTTTGGGATTGCGAATCCTGGAATATACTCTATTCCGCAGGGCCATTGCCTTTGGGACGATTCTGGAGTCTGTAATCCAAAACAGTCGCTTTTTCCAAGTCTGGCTACTTTGAATAATAATAATGAATTTCATAAGGCGCTCCTAACGATGATCTCCCACTGCCCCAGGAAGAGCCCCAAAACACAGGTCTCTCTGATACCCTGTCTCAATAAAGCAGCCCAAAGAGTATTCTTGTCCGCCAAGAGCACAGGGCTTTTGTAAGGCTAATGGTTCTAAACTCCCCACTCAAGAAATGGCACTGCAGAATCAAACTGATGGATAGATCCATAGTTTAGGCATTTGGCTACAGAGCAAAAGGTTGGGAATTCAATTCCCTGCTTATGCCTCCTTGACAGCGACTGGACTCGATAATCCACAGAGGTCCCTTCGGATGCTGCCGTTCTAAGATTAAGAACCTGTGTTTTACAACCAGTGAATCCCAAAGCAGTTGCAGGGTTTCTGAGAAAAGAGGCCAGCCAAGAATTACCTGGCTTCTCCTGTGTGACCTTGGGCAGGTTGTGCAATCCCAGATTGTGCCTCTAATTCGCAACCTAGAAAAGCATGAGAGGATTGTCCTAAATTGGAAACAACTTCCCAGTGTATAAGTATTAGCTGTGAATGCAACAATAACACACTCTTCTTATTTAATACTGTATTGTCTTTTGAGCTCAACTCTTTTTGCATCCTTGAGGTTAAACCCAGCATCTGCCTGTTTGTAGATAATGCACATCATCATCTTAGAACTACAGTCCTATGGATCATCAAGTCCAGCCCCCATCAAGGAAGCACATTGGGGTTTTGAGCTCCCAACCTCTGGCTCCACCGCCAGATGCGTAAATCACTGAACTAGCCAGGAGTTCGTGTATTACCGTATTTTTTCAGTGTATAAGACCCCCCCACTTTTCTAACCCAAAATTAAGAAATCTAAGTGGGGCTTAGCAAGTGTAGGGGGAAAAGGGATCAAAGCCCTATAGAATCACTTTGATTCCTGCTTTCCCCTCCACTTATTTTTTCTCTTCTCAGCTTACTTCTGTGTATAAGACGACCCTCAATTTTTAGTCTAAAGATTTTAGTCAAAAGTATAGTTTTATGCATGGGAACATACGGTAAGTTCTGCCTAATGCAGACGGCTGCTTTGGTGACCTGTCTGTCACACAAGCGATTTAGGAGCCGTTACACCAGCATTGATGCTTAACAAAACACCCTCTATAGGGGGTGTGTGCAGTCCTATTCGACCAGATTTTGGCCTATTTATTTATGTATTGGATTTCTATCCCACTCATTTAAACCAAAGGTCATTTTTATCAAGTCATTTCCAACTTGCCCACTACACTGGATTTCCTAGTCATCTACACCCTTTCCTTTAGCTCGTATGTTTCCCAACCTTTGAGTCCACCAAAATTCTTGGACTACAAGGTCCAGAAATCCTAGCCCTCACAGCGACGCCCCTCGTGTAGAAGCAAACCTTGAGCAAGGAGCTGGAATCGACCGCCTTGTGGGCCCCTTCCAACTCTATGGTTCTATGATCGGGTAGGAGAAGAGTGGGGTCCACAACTCCCAGTATCAATATTCAGCATCCTTGTTGGCAGCCAAAGGAGACACCTACAGAGCTGACCCAGGGGAGCCCTTGACCCTCCTGGGTCTGGCTTGTTGAGAGTCCATCTCTCATCTGCTTTATTAGCCGACGTTGCTAGCCAGGATGGCACAGGTTGGTGGGAAATGAAGTAAGAGAACCTCGCTGGAAGGCCACAGGTTTCTTGTTCCTGCATAAGATTTTGAAGGCAGATGGAACCCGGCCTTGGGCCGCATCTGGGCTATCTCTAACCCCACCATTAGTGGTGTTCAAAACAGGGTTTTTGGGTGTTCTTAACAGGTGTTAGGCCTGTTCGAGATGGACAACGCCGATTCCCCCGAGGCCGAGGTGGAGCAGCCTCCTTCAGAGGCCGTGGTGAAGCCCCTCTTCAGAGAAGCCAAGCAAGAGACCGACGAAGAAGTGAGCCATTTGGGTAAGTCTTTGACGGAAGTAGGTCTCTTTTTGCTCCTTGATTCATGGAACTGTTTTTGGGTCTTGGGGGGGACAATTCATGGGGGCTGAGAGCTTAAGATAGGAGAGCCCTCACGCTCTTCAACCAGCAGTTCCCAGCCTTGGGGGGCCCCAGATGTTCGTGGACTGCAACTTCCAGAAATCCTGGCCAACCCAGCTGGTGGTGAAGGCTTCTGGGCGTTTTAGTCCAAAAAAATCTGGGGACCTAAGGTTGGGAACCACGGCTCTAAGCCCAACATAGGCACAAGAGTGAAGAGTGTTGAAGCCTGTTGAGCAAACCTAGCTTGGGGGCCGATTCTCAAGGTCTTCCCAAAGATAGTTTGGCTGCCAAGTCTTCTTCAAAACCTTGTCCCTCCCCATGATACATAGCCTTTTCCTGCTTTGTGTGGTTGATTGATGGGCTACATATTCAGTACAGTGGTGCCCTGCATAGCGACGTTAATCCGTTCCAGGAAAAACGTCGCTATCCGG